AAGGCGATGTTTGCTAATTTAGATACAGATACAGTGTTACAATCATATATGAAGTTTTTGATCAAAAAAGACAAGATCTTTCATTTATTTGAAAGTTTTTAAAAAACTCATATTCGGGGTTTTGTGATTCAGGCTGATGTTGATGGAAACGGTTCGATTGGATTACATCGAGTTTATTACCGCAACAATGCATAGAAATAGGCTTGAAAGTAATGAAAACCATGACAAGGCTCTCAATTTTTTTTTGACAAATATGGTAGTGGGTAAGTGATCTTTGCTGGTTCTGATATGCTTCCTTTCGAGGCAAATAAGCTAAACCTTTCTAAAAATGTGTTTTAATACGATAGACCAGCTAGAAGTTGCTTTGAAGGAATATGGAACGGGAGATGGTGCTACAATCAAAGAGATTTTGTCCAATGTCGATGCCGATAATGTAAAAGCAAAAACAGAGAGTAGAAAATCTTCTTAAAACATTTTTCTTTGTTTTATTTCTCTAATCTCAATTTTTGGTCTTGTTACAGGATGGTAGAATTAACTATGATGAGAAGTGAGAATCCACAAGACTGTTCTAAGATTCTTTATTTGCTTTCTATGTTTATGACTTTGTATATGATTGTATCTAATTCAAAAAGACCAGAGTTGTATTATCGTTCAGAGAGAGCTTTTGGTGGAATGGTTTTGTTTTTTTGTTACAGTTTAATAAACCAGTAAAACCTCATTTGTTATGTTGGTTTTCAAAGACATAACAAAGGAAGAGAAGAGACTGTGTATAATAATGTAAGTCGATAAAAAAGTAGCGTGAGAAAATTTAGTGATGAGGCAAGCGTTTAAGGTCCATTTCTACTTGATGAATGGTCCATTGCATATTTTCCCGTTTCTGCAAAACATTTGAAGCTCTCATTATTGTGTCAATGGAGAAGGTAAAAGTGACATAATTAATGGTTTCTTCATTGTAGTAATAACTAGATTTTGACACACGCAAAGCATGGGATTAAATACTTAAATATATTTTCTAATCGATCTTAATATATAGACGTGTATTATAATATTTATAAACGTACAAAAGGATATGTATACCAAATATATTTTAATATCATATGATTTGATCAATTTTGCATAAAAATATAAAAACTAATACAAATG